TGGCTGTTTTCTCTCTCTCTCTTTCTCTCTGTCTCTCTCTTTTGCAAGACCACACAGCAAGTTAGTGACAGAACTAAGAGTGAGACTGGCAATATCAATATTCTCTGGGGTTTTATAGTTCTTTTCATCTTCAAAGAGCTTTACACAATTCTCTAATTAGGCTCACGGGTTCTGGCCCCCACGCTTGCTCTAATCACCAGGCGGCATACCTGCTCTGCATTCCTAGCTCTGAGCAACCTGCCGTTCTTCATCATTATTAAATTAAAGGGGGGGAAAAAGTCCATAATAATTTCAATTTAATTAATGACAAATCTGGACACTTCTTTAAATACACGTCCAATTGCCTGGGCCCTAATCTATATTAGCAAAGTTTTTCCATTATTTATTCAGAATAAAGATATGTTTTAATTGTAAAATTATCTATAATTAAATGTACAGGTTAAAAATAGTTGCATTTCTGACCCACCTAAAATATTAGTCCAAAGGGCCTTGTTTTATTTCTTTGAAAAATATTTTTGTTTTACGTGTCGTTACTGTCTTAAAAATCACCTTTTAGATAGTTATGCTTCTTTTTTTTTTTTTTCTTTTAAAGCTAGGGGTGCTCTTTGATAAATGTTTAGGTACATAAAAGATAGGCTCGTCTTTAAATGAGAACTAAACAAGACAATTTGGAAACCTATATTTTATTTTCGTTTCTTTCACTCATGGTAACTAGATAAGTCACTTATTATTTCTGGATCTCAGTTTTCTCTTCTGTGAGTCAAGTTTTCTTCTAGCTCTGTGACTCTGAGAGTCACCGTATGCATGTCAGCATGCATGCAGGGATGTGGACAGTCCAAAGTCCCTCCTAGTTCCTTCTTCTGTCACCTTCAGGGGTGTGCAGAGTTGAGAATCAGAAGTAACCTTAGTAAGTCCTCACTTAACATCATCCATAGGTTCTTGGCAACTGAGACTTTAAGCTAGAAGATGTACAATTGGTCCTCAAACAGCACCATTTGTTTTGATGTCATTCCATTATACTATTGTTGAGAAAAGAATTGGTTCTGTTCTGTGTGGTTTCACTTAAAGTCACAGTTTCTGAGAGCCTACTGATGGCATTAATTAAGTGAGAACTTACTACACCTGGTCATAGGCTTTTTAGCCCTCAGCCAATGAAGTAGCAATAGAACAGGCCAAACATACAAGCAACTGAACATATGTTTGTAACCAACACACCTTTACGGAAGACTCTTGGTGAGAACCCATTATCTCATGGAGAGAAAACATGGAGCCGCCTGAATGATGTCTACCAAGTTCTGGGAAGACTGTCCCTCCCTGTGCCTTCTTCCCTTTCCCCGGCTGCTAATGAATACCTTCTTCAGAAGTAGAGTGTGCTTCTCTTGTTAGACTTGTTGAGAAAAGTTCGAAAATAAGATGCCATTTGAAGCTTAATCAAGTACTCACCCCTCTGAGTGAAGGGGATTGGGGCTCCTCTTCTGAGTGCAGGTGTTGATACGGGAAGGAAGGCGAAAGCTTTGGTGTTGGGGAGGGTGGGTGTTAAGGGCAGAGACGTGAGTCCCATCAAACTGAAAGAAGGGACAAGAATGGGAACGAGTACACAGAGAATACTGAAGAATAAACTTCACTCGTCATCATTCAGGAAAGGGGAACCCCGCCTGCCCACATAGAAGCAGCAGAAAATAGCGATGGCCTGGCCACAAGCACCTGTTATAATATATAAGATCAACCTGCATCACTGACTTCTTGGACATATTCCTCTAAAGCCTAGGCTGAGTACCTAAAAAAGAAAGTATTTTGAGAAATCAAAACTCCCCAGCTCTATGACTCTGTGTGTGTGTGTGCGCGCATGTGTGTGTGTGTGTGTGTGTGTGTGTGTGTGTGCATGTATTGGTGAGGCAAGGTGAGGAGGGAAGAGCGGACCACAAACTCCTAGAACAATTTCGCTTTGAAACAAGCATGTTCCTGAGCATGAAGGCAAGAAGCTAGAGTGACATAATCTTCCGCGTTAACAGATTCCTGTGGCTTTAGCTGCAGTGCAGCGTATCTGAATAAATAATCGTGTTTGCTGTTGTTGATGCTGTGAATTCTTCCCTTGATATAATCTATTTCCTTGGGTATCTCGGGTTGGAGATGGGCCAAACCAATACTGGGAATAAGCACAGAGACAAAATAGGAAGGCAAAATATTCCAATTCGCTGTTTTACTCCTAGAGGAATCTTTTAAAGAGGGAAATCACAGGGATGGGCTCCTATGTTAGCAGGCTGGCTCAGATGCTGCCCTCCTCCTTCAGGAGAACGTTGGGGTAGGTCTTAGCCCAACGTGCTTTGGCCAAACACTTCCCCCCAACGGTTCTAGACTCATAAGACCCAGGTTGTGAGCATTGATGTTTTAGGGTAACCATATTTAGCAAATAACACAGAATGTTCAAAAAATTGAAATTGAAGACAAAAAAACAAAAATACTTTTAATATAAATATGTCCCATGCAATATTTGGGGCATACAACACTAAAAAAATCATTCCTTGTTTACCTAAAATTCAAATTTAACCGAGTGTCCTGAATTTTATATGATAACCCTAGGTGATTTTCAGCATAAATATGAATTATTTTAGCCTACTCCCAGTAACAACTTGAACTGAAATATGGAAAGAAACTGTTCCTGTGGCACCTTTCACGTTGTCTCATAACAAAAAGAACAGGTGGCAAAGAAATTCTCGTAGGTTTGCAATTAAAGCACCAAGTGTGTGACAATTGTGAGCATGGCCTGTGACCTAATTTCATCAATTCAAATAATTATTTCCAAACAAGTGTTTCCAAGGGGATGGTTTGTAAACTATAGAGAAGTTGCATAATTCCTGTAATACCGGGTTTAAATTCAGATTTAAATGGATTAGATTAAATGATTTACTGATGCTTTGTTAATCACTACCAGAGTATAATTGTGCATCTTTATGTCTCAGTATTTTTTCATTCCTGCTCATCTTTAGGGAAAAATAGGCATGCTTTCCCCTGCCTGACTTGCTCCCTGCCGCAACCTGCACCCATCACCGCAGGGACTGCTCCAGGGAGATCTGGTGTCCCGAGAACCCAAGCATCAAATCCTTAAAGTGGCTGCCTGTCCATGTTGCGTTGGTCAGGAAAAAATTCAATCTCAAAATTCCCACTATCGGTAAAGCCCTTTAAGAGGTTAAATTGGCTCATCAAATTTCGTTCTAGCAGCTGTAATTTCCCACCTTCTAAGCAAAATGTGTGAATGAGGAAAGAAAATATTCAATTAGAAAAGCGTAAATCTTTACTAAAGAGTCTCCACCCCTCTCCAACAGCCCCTCATCCCCAAGTCCTCCCAGTAGGAGCCAATTTCCCTTTCAGCGTCACAGAGAAGAACAGGCCACTCGCCTTCACAATGCTCCTTAACCCCTACGAAGGCCAGCTTCCTTCTGCACTTTTCTCCTACATTTCCCCAACAGCCGCCCAGTTGTTTAATCCAATAGAAATGGTTTCTTCCATTCCCTAATTTATTAGGCCTTTATGCAAACTTTGACACTCACATATTTGGTTTTCTGACACCACTTCTTCCTTACTTTATCCTACATCTTCTATTCTTTGTTCTCCATATAAAACCTTACAGAAAGAACCTTCTATAAGATCCTTCCGTTAACTTATTCTACACTAAGCTGTCCTTGTATTTGTATATTTCCTACAGTTTTCTTCTAAGCCCTCATCTCACTCATATTAATGTGTATCTCACTCCTGGGTAACGCCAATGTTTTGCATTATGTCAACTAATGGGTGTGCTTCAGAACAGAAACTACGATCTCAGGCAGGATGGGAAGCCTGGCTCTGCCACTCCCTAGCTGTCTCATGCAAGAAAAGCTACTAAATCTTTACTTCAAAAACAAATACATTATTTTCAATACCTTTCAGCCAAAGGCCACAAGGAATAGCTTTTGAGTTAAATAAGTTGGGTTTGTTATTTGTTGCAGTGAGGGACAACACAGACTATGGGGGACAATGGGGTGTATGAGTTAAAAATGATTTAGACACAGCAATCCCACTCGTGGGTATATATCCTCTAAGAACTTGAAATTGGTATCTCAAAGAGATATCTACATAACTGTGCTCATGGCAGCATTATTTACAATAGCCAAGTTATAGAATCATCCTAAGTGCCCATCAGTGGATGAATGATAAAGAATACATGGTCTACATATACACAATGGAATACTATTCAGCCCTTAAAATGAAGGAAATCCTGTCATTTGTGAGGTCATGAATGAACTTGGAGGACATTCTTCTAAGTGAAATAAGCCAGGCACAGAAAGACAAATACTGCATGATTTCACTTATATGTGGAACCAAAAACAATCAAACCCATAGAAACAGAAGGTAGAATGTTATTAATAGTTATCAGAGGGCCGGGCGCGGTGGCTCACACCTGTAATCCTAGCACTCTGGGAGGCCGAGGAGGGAGGATTGCTCAAGGTCAGGAGTTCGAAACCAGCCTGAGCAAGAGCGAGACCCTGTCTCTACTATAAATAGAAAGAAATTAATTGGCCAACTAATATATATAGAAAAAATTAGCCGGGCATGGTGGCACATGCCTGTAGTCCCAGCTATTCGGGAGGCTGAGGCAGTAGGATCACTTGAGCCCAGGAGTTTGAAGTTGCTGTGAGCTAGGCTGATGCCACGGCACTCACTCTAGCCTGGGCAACAAAGCGAGACTCTGTCTCAATAAATAAATAAATAAATAGTTACCGGAGGCTGGCCGGGGTTGAGGGATCTAGGGGGTGGGAAGAGAATTGAGAGGTGTTGGTCAAAGAGCACAAAGTTGCAGTTAGATAGGGGAAAAGGAGAAATGAGTTAACAGTTAAGATGATAGATATGTTAATTGTCTTGATTCAATCATTCCACACTGAATACGTATTTTATAACATCACTTTGGACACCATGATTATATGTGATTGTAATTTGACCAAAACATATAAATAAATCAATGCTGCTTTATACTTTAGTAAATGGATTTAATAGAGGATTCGGGCATCTGGGTGATTTGAGGGGGGCCTAAGGAAGGAGAGAGAAGCTCTAGATTGGATGTTGGACAATAAGCAAGTAAATATAAATTTAAAAAGTCAAAAGATTTAACTTTCAGTTTAACTTGCACAGAATCAGGTAGCACACGGTTTTTGGAATTGCTGCAGAATTGAAAGCCAGGAGTTTGCAGTCCTGGTGAAGAGCATAAGTCTCATCCATTTCACTTGCTTTGGAGACAACGAGAGAGAGGGACGGGAGAACTGCCAAAGGTGTTGGTGTCTGAGATCAATGCTGTGAGGTACAGATGTTTCTCCAAAGTTTATCTGACTTCATCTGAACAATCCAGGTTTGGAAATCAGGTTGCAAATCTACCACAGCAATTTCTCTGGCAAGAGTTCCAGTGTCTCCTCTTCTAGTCTCTCACTGTATCTTACAACCTTCGGTTTCTTTCCTTTGCTTTCTTTTTTTCCCCCCTAAAACAAAAGAAGCACAATAATACAGTTAAAAGACGCACTCAGTGAAAAAAAATTCCAAAAAGGTCTTTGCAATGTTAGTGAGAATTTATTTTATTAATGAAACTTTCCCAATATACATTCCATGTTCTATCCCAGCAAGTTGGTTTAGTATTTTTAGGTTAAGATACCTATGACTTGAATACTTAGATAAATCTAAGCAATGAACCTAAGTAACGAAATAGGCACCGAATTTAAATGTCACTATACATAAATTTCTTAATTAAAAAATTAATACCATGTAGAATTGAAATGTTAGTCTCCTGGTGATATAAGGTGAAAACCTTCTTTTCATAATTGAGGATACTGAAACCCAAATAAAAAGCTCTCAGTCCTACATTACAGATTTAATAAAGTGAGTCTGTTCCATACAAGTTTATTTCATTATACTATTTTACATTTTACATATTTGTGATATTTATTTGGTCTAAATTTTTAAATGGTCAGGCAATCTAGTAAAGATGACTTCAGTAACAGACTTGATCAAACACTCAATTAGCCATATTAGAAATAAGATTTATTGGCTGTTTACTAGGTGTTAGGTGCTATGTTAAGCATTTTACACGAATCATCACATTTAATGCAAACAGTAACTCTGTGAGGTAGGTAATATTACTTTTCAGGTTTTATGGATGAGAAAACTAGATTTAGTTAGCTTAAGGAACTTGCCTGGAGTCACATAGCCTAGTAACTAGCAGAGGCAAAATATGAACTCACTTCCATTAATATTGCTTCAGTGCCTGAGCTGTCTAAGAGAAAAATTTGTCACCGCTATGAGAACCTGCAATTCCTGAGGCAATATCAACACAAATATTTTTAAATAGCATTAAATAATTTCCCCAAGCATTTTCTTACATTTCCAATTCAGTTCGACACATTTTATGTTTGTGACCTGCTGTCCATAAGGTCCTGTGCCAAATGGTGTGAGTAGGAGCTGCCCCAAGAAGTGGCACTGGGTGGCCGTACCCAAGTCCACTCGTCACTCAGGACCAGGTGCTCAAATGGAAAGTGCCACGGTGGGTTCTCATTGTTCGAGTCAGTTATCTGAACAGCGGGAAAAATCATCTAAACCACCTAAATCATCTACACGAAGAGCATCTAGCTGAGATGCGTATGGATTAAATGCAAATGTAGTAGAACTAAAAAGTTCATTTAAAAAAAAAATACTGTAACAGGCCGGGCGCGGTGGCTCACGCCTGTAATCCTAACACTCTGGGAGGCCGAGGCGGGTGGATCATTTGAACTCAGGAGTTCGAGACCAGCCTGAGCAAGAGCGAGACCCCGTCTCTACTAAAAAAGTAGAAAGAAATTACCTGGATAACTAAAAATATATAGAAAAAATTAGCCGGGCATGGTGGCACATGCCTGTAGTCCCAGCTACTCAGAAGGCTGAGGTAGGAGGATTGCTTGAGCCCAGGAGTTTGAGGTTGCTGTGAGCTAGGCTGATGCCAGGGCACTCTAGCCCAGGCAACAGAGTGAGACTCTGTCTCAAAAAAAAAAAAAAAAAAAAAAAAAACTGTAATAATTCTTCCTTCACAAATGCATATTTAAAAGGAATTGGATGGCTTATACAAGATCCTTTAGGGAAGAACATGTTAATGATCAGGAAAAAAATACCCTTTCCTTTACCCTTTAAAAAGTAAATTGTGTGAATTCTATACTATCTAAGATTCAACTGATTGCAATCCTATGGTTGTTTTGTTTTTTTTGTTTGTTTGTTTTTTTCTTGCTAATGTTTTCTTCTCTCTCTCTCTCTTTTTGAGGTTAGGGTGGAGAGTGGAAAAAAACATTTACATTGAGGCTTTGCCTTCAAATTGTCAGTTGATAAACATAATTTCTCCATATTCTTGCTTCACTGATCGGAAAGGCTGGTAGTTAATGGCCTTTTATTACAAACTTCCTTTAGTACGCAGCCCAGCAATTAGGCACGGGCATGGTCCGTGACCCTCGCTGCCTCCGCACCGGCTTTGATTAGGACTTTGCTCAGTGACACACGTCTAATAACCAGGAGTGGCACGAACTGAACCATCAAGACCCTGATTTATTCTTTAACCCACATCCTTGGCCAAATAGGGGTGTAATTAGCTATTACGCCAACTGCCAATATAATCGGAACTTGTGTTCAGGTTGGAGGAAAAAAAAAAAACAAAAACAAACAAACAAACAAAAAAAAAAACAAAGCAAAACAAACAAAACAAAAAAGGCATGTTTCTGTACTAACAAAATCATGCAGACAGCATCGTGGGAATTCCAACCTGGGAGATTGGACAGCACCGTAGCATGGAAGCAAACTGACTTTGTGATCAGTTTTATCTCTTTGTTTTGCCTTATATGAAGTTCCTTATTCAGGCACGGTAGAATTAAAAAGAGTTTTGGAATGAAGACTGCAAATGTTGACAAGCAAGATTCTTCTCCAGTAACAATTCATGCTGGATCATCTGAAATTATGAACACTAGATTGAGCATAGCTCTTAACGGAGAAAAGAGTTGAGAAAAATGGTCACCTACAGGGTTTTTTTTTTAATCTTTGTAAATGGATATGGAAAAATGACATGGCTCTCTGACTTAAAATGCCTGCTCAACAGTGTTACCCCAAGGGCAGCATAAAACAGGCCAACTAAAATTCCTACAACCCTAAGTTCTACATCAGTGGTCTCCAAATGTAATGTTTTACAAATCACTTGAGGATCTTGTTAAAATGCAAATTCTAACCTGCTAGGTCTGGGGTGGGGAGCAGAGTTTCAGCATTTCTTTCTTTTTTTGTTATTTCGGGGGCACAAACTTTTTGGTTGTATAAATTGCTTTTGTACCATTTGAGTCAAAGTTGTTAGTGTGCCCATCCCCCAGATAGTGTGCATTGTACCCGTTAGGTGTGAATTTACCCATCCCTTCCTCCCCCATGCCTCCTCTTCGATTTCCGATGAATGTTATTTCCGTATGTGCACAAAAGTGCCGATCGATCAGTTCCAATTTAATGGTGAGTACATGTGGTGCTTGTTTTTCCATTCCTGTGATACTGCACTTAGAAGAATGGTCTCCAGTTCCATCCAGGTTAAGATAAGAGGTATTAGTTCAACATTTTTTTATGTCTGAGTGGTATTCCAGGGTATACATATACCACATTTTATTAATCCACTCACGTATTGATGGGTGCTTGGGTTGTTTCCACATCTTTGCAATTGTGAATTGTGCTTCTATAAATATTCAAGTGCAGATGTCTTTTTTATAGAATGTCTTTCTTTCCTTTGGGATTGCCAGACCAACAGACTCCCAGGGGAGTGCACTGCAGCCTAGCCACCCTGAACCACACTCTGAGCAGCTAGGGGCCGGCGAACTTGGAAAGTAGCCATTGTTAGTTTCATTAATCCTCATAGTGGTCTCAATTTGTCACTTCATTTTGCATTTAAAGATATTCTGAATTTCTTGTCCTTCCTACAAGATCAGAAATACTATAAGGCATGTGAAATGAGCTCTGAAGAAGATAATTAAATAGTTCTCCTTAGAGACATTTGAGAATAAGACTTCATGAGATTTTTTTTAGATTTATTTTTAAAGATTTAGTTTTTCTATTATTATAGATAATTTGGAATATACAAAAATTAAAATTAGGAAAAAAATAACCCATAATCTCACCTTTCAGAGATTGACTCTTAACACATTGATGTATATTTCTCACAAACATCAAACATGTTTACACATTTGGACCTAATTCTTTTCATTTAACATTGTATTATACACATTGACTGCTTCATTAAATTTTCTCCCCCAAAATGAGTTTTAGTAGTCTTGTCTAGTGAGGTACTATAATTTATTGAATAGTCTCCTTTCCTTCAACATTTATATTGCTTCCAACATTTCCTTATTTTAAATATCACAGAAATAAAAGAATAGAATTTTTAAAGTATCTGTCTTCGTTACACCTTACTTTCTATACATCTCTTAATGAGAAAATTATGTTCTTACTAAATTAAGAATATCAGTGATATCAAATGAAATTTAAGCCATACTTCTTAAATTTTACAAAGACTCTTATTATGCGATAATTTTTTTTTTCTGGTAAAGTGGAAGTTGACACACACACACACATACAAACACTCACAATTTATCATGGCAGTAAATCTCTGATCTTTATTGCTGCCATTATCATAGGATTCTTGAAATGTTTGGGTCTTTTAAGAATCACTTTATAAATCAACCTAAGTGTTTTAAAATTATATTGAACTCTTTAGAAATGAGTCATCTAAATTTTCATTACGTTTTATTGAAAATCAGTTAGCAATCTCTAAGTAAATGAAACAACAAAATAATTCACTTTTCGGAGATTTTAGCAAACTTAAATTATTGATGACAACATTTATAAACAGGAAGACATGATTAAGTGTTGAGAGATAGACTGTGCACGTGATTTACTTCTGAGGTTTTACAATTGTGTTTTGGAATATCTCAACTTGAAGGCTATATCCTCGGATGCTTCTAGTTTTTTGTACCTAATGACTATATATCCTTTTAATAGAAAACTTCTAGAATTTTGTACTATCTAATTTTGGTGAAACATTCAAAAGAATCATAAATAGGCATAACTCATCTGATGAGTTTCAACTTGTAAACATGTGATCCTATTTATTTGGGTGGAATAAGTGTGTGTGTGTGTGTGTGTGTGTGTGTGTGTGTGTGTGTGTGTATGTGAGAGAGAGAGAGAGGATGCCCTTAATTTCTGCAAAGAAACACAATATGTATTAACCATGGCTGCCTCTGAGTAGTGGGACGGGAACCTGAAAGATAGGGAACATAATTTTTCTTTTGCATCTGACTATTTGAAACTTTTATCTTGAGCATGCATTGCTTTTGTAATAATAAGAATATTTGGTAATTTAAAGGCACACATAAATATAATGTAATCTTTTGAAAAATACTGTTCTACCATGCATTAGAGGCATTAGAGGGAAGTTTAGATTTTTTTAAAATCCAGATAAATAATCTTCATAGTGAGGAGTTTGCATTACTGTGTCTGGCAACATAGTATCTAGGAAGATAGACGTCTAGATATTGGTCTAGGTTTTAGGTTTTGTCAAGGCTACCCTTCTCGTTAACACAGACAAACACACCTTGTTTATAAGGCTGGGATTTTTGTTATAATTTATGGGATTGTCGTGTCAGCCACACACAGTCACAAAATGCGAGTTCTTCCCCATTGAAAAAGGAAACATATTAATCCGGGAAGTAGGTAATGGACTATTGTAGGGCTGGAGAATTAATAGATGTTGCCTTCATATATTTTACCACCAGTACAATCTCCAAGGACAGAATGGGCAGAGTAGCTACATTTGTTGAACTTACCTTGGCAGCAAACAGCACTTGTGCTGGCAATGATCATGTACTTAGCTGATAAAGGAAAAAATATGTTTGGGAGACCACATGTGAGTATTAGGATCCATTATTTTCTTTGAAATCTTCTGGGCCCCAAAGAAATTGCTAATTGCCATTCAAACTGCAGCCCAAGCAACTCAAGTGATGCTTTGTCTATCAGACCTTTTAGGTCGATGACAGATGCAGATATAGATTTAGAGGCAGATAAAGATATTTTGCAATATTTAGGCATTTGATGCTAAATAAATAGAATATTCAAACAGACCATTGACTGATATTTTTTCACATCAGATTTTTTAGCATCATGACATGACCATAGTTTCTTGCAGGATGCAGTTTTTTATCTGCGAGGACATAATTCTAGATAAATCTTTAGGCACCAGAAGAAATTTAAAGTTTATCTCCTCCATTTATACATTCAATTCTAAGAGAATGTATTGTTTTTCCAGTGTTAAGAGGTATCAGGTCTCTGTATGTGACACCATCCCAAACCATTTTAGTCAGAAACAGGTGGAGCAGAGAGTGTTGTAAAACAGCCATACTGGATGAATTTCACGAGCCATTGACAACCATGACACAATCCAAAACTATTTTACAAAACATTTACATTTTCTCAAGAATGAGTTTCATGAGTTCAGAAGGTTTCCTCTGGGAAATTTTCGGAGAATCGGTCATGAACTTTGTATAATGTCAAGAGCTTGACCCCTAAATGTGGTGTCAGGTTGACATTCTGACAGGGCTCTCGCCTGCTGAGTCATTGTGCAACTGAAAATAAATACAGAGAGGTAAAATGTAGTGACAGTGTAGCCCAAGACCATCACCCGTGTGAACTAAGCCAAGGTTGTGTGCAAAATTGCTTTGCCCTCTGGTGCACCCGGACTCAGGGGACATAGGGTCCCTTCTTCCCTGTCGAAGTCCGGGTCAGGCATTTAGCTAAATATAATCACTCCTCTACTCTCAGGAAACAGGTGTCTGTGGATGTGACGGAAACTGGCTCCCATGATTAGGCTGTTGTATGGTGGCAATGAGGGTGATGCTTTGTTTTGGGATTTCATTAAAGCTCCTGATGAACTGAGGTCAAGTTCATCGAAAGGGATAGAGTATCCTGGGTGGGCCTGGCCTGATCAGGTGATCCCTGTTAAAGCAGGGGTAGCAGCCAGAGATAGAGACATCGGACAGACCTGAAGCAGCAGAGATGAAGAAGGGAGCTTCTCTCTACTGTGGAGAGAGCTAGTGGAGGGGTCTCCTGTGGGATCCCTAATTCCTGAGGGCCTCAGTCCTACAGTCAAAGCACTGACTTTTGCCAGCACCCAGTGGGCTTGGAAGAAGACTCTGAGACAACGAGAAGACTCCTAGGCTGACACCCTGATTTCACACTTGGGCCCAGGTAAGCTGTACCCAGATCTCCCTACCAGTGCAAACTGGGAGATGAGAAATTGTGCTGCATCAGCTGCTAAATGTGTGGTGATTTGTTACACAGCACCACAGAACAAATCCAGGGCAGATAGGAGATGGATAGAATTAAGAATTTTGGAGACAGGCAAAGATTTGATCAACCTAGGGCCTAACTCCTTCTGGTTTGCATTCCTTCCCTGCCTTTATTAGCAGGAGCTGTTATATTCTTCCTTATGGAGGAGACGGTAGTCCATTCAGCCTACTCCAAACATTTGTGCAATACGGTAAATTCTGGCATCTCAAAATTTTAAATGCGAAAACTGATGTGTTTCTGGCCTCCCCATTTTCGTCAAGCCATCCCGGACTTTCTGCCACAGGGCAGGGCAAAAGTCAGTCCAGTTTTGGTTCTCAGATTTCAAACTGGGCTTCCAAACTCTTCTGGTTAGGACAATCCTTCGAGAATAAGCATTTTGAATCCTACAACCTTGAGTTTTATTTTAGTATAAAACCTGAAGTTTATACCATAAATCATAGATGTGAGAAACTTATTTGATGATGTAAGAGCCGGTTTACTCTGCCCTAGATGAGATAATTATTCTGTGATCTGAAAAGGTGAGAGTCGGCTGGAAAGAAAGGAAGATTCTAGTTCAGAGTCTCAGAAAGTTCTTTGGTCGGCTCTCACCTCCAGCGGGAACAGACATTAGGCTCCCAAGAGGTCCAAGAGCATAGCGAGATCAGTTGTGTCTCCACTGCTGGGAGGATCTTTGAGGCAAGGAGCGGCAGAGAAGGCAAAAGTCTCAGGGAGACGAGACGGCCCACCCCCAGGTGCACAGCGTGGTAGCGGTGGAGCAGAAACAGACATGGCCTTTATGAGGGCGCAGAACACCTGGAACATTCCTCCAGTTGCCTGGAGCTCCGGAATGACCCTGGAGAGCTCCCAGAGTGACTCGTGCACAGGGGGAGACGGGGCCTGATTGCATTCACACAAGGCCTTCCTGGCCCTTTGTCACCAGGTGGTCTCCAGTGCTCTTCAGGGTCTGATATTCCACGACTCTACCTTAGGCACCCCATAGAGTACAGACACTCCACGGCAGGTACCCTAAACAAGATCTAGGAGGGAAACCCAAGGGTAAAGTTGGTGACTAGGGCAAGGAGTAGCTCATCCTCTTCAATTATATGGTATGTGTCACCCTACCAGAGCTCTCAGCTGCTCACTTCCTGCCCTGAACACTCGGTGGAAATTTGAGACAGTTTAGGTTTCTTACTCTGCATGCCTTGTGTTTTATTTTCCTCCACGCTGTCATCAAATACATTGTGACACTTCTTAGCTGGCAATTTGGGGCCTTCTCTTCTTTCTTTGCACACCTCGCTTCTTCTAGCAAACCCACCGATTCCTCATCCCTCTGGCAGAGCAGGGAGCCGCTTAAAGGAGACCCACTTTGATACAAATTACTAGACTGCATCGTCTTTCCGTTGGAGTGGGATTAGCACTCTGTGGCTGGGCGCTAGGAATGCAGATTGACTCAAACTTGTTAAAACAGTGGCCCTAATCCCAGGGGAAACAATTGGCCCTTTGTGAAGCAATTTGCAAGTATCGAGTTCCACCCTTAAAATTTACTATGCCCTGTTATTATGTGATTAGTAGACTCAAAGGCATCTGTATTTTTACCTAGCTCACATTATTTTTAGGACCTTACAAAGCAGGCTTTGCATGTGGTTCTGAAGCAGTCACAATTCCTCAAGATCTATCAGTTAGTAACCAACTCAGCCTGGTAGTGTAGCACATACAGCCAGCATTCACCAGCACCCTAGAATAAGGTTTCTGCAATGTAGGTTCACATTATGAATCATAAATATTAACTATATATTATTTACCGTAAAGAAAAATTACAAAAACGTGCAAAGGTAGATATTTCTCTGGCTGTATTTTTCTTTGCAAGTGCAGAATGAAATATTCCACTGTTTTGAACTACACTCCAGAGAATAGGGTTGAACAAGCTAGAGAGAAGATTTAGAGGGATGTTTTTCCAGGCTTATGCATGCGGCAGGGGATAGAGGGAAGAAAGTGTGTATGTTGATCATCCCCCTCTAGCTTTGTGCATTCTGTTCAGACCACCCTCAGGGTAAACATTATCAGACATTTATTTCTAGCCGGATGCAGTGGCATGCCACTGTAGTCCCAGTGACTTGAGAGGCTCAGGTGGGAGGATCGCTTGTGCCCTGGAGTCAACAGTCCAGCCTAAGCAGCATAGGGAGACCCCATCTCAAAAAAGAAATTCAACTTTAAAAAAACAACATTCATTTCTCCAAACTTCTTTAGCTCTTTTTTATATAGCTTTTAGAGAATTCCATCTAGCAGTGTAAATATTTCATCTACCTGATTTTCAGCAACTTAAGGGCAATGACATTGCACATTTCATTAAATGTATTGCAGTGTCTAGCAAAATTCATTGCATATATTTCTTACTCAATAAATATATTTGGGGATGGGTGAGTGAAAGAATAAATGAATGAATGAATTTAAATCTAAACCAGAACTATCCAATGAGCTTTACTCTGGCTGTGAATGTTCCTCACTAACTGTATCTTTGGCCAGCTCCCACACTAAATAGCTCGCATCAAACACTGGTAGCAAATATGCCAAGGAAGACGAAGACAAATGTTCCCAAACAAATATCTAATAGGTCAGATGCATGCTAGGACCACCTCTGCCTTGTTCTGCATTTTCTACCAACAGCCTCTTGGCAGTATGTAAGATTGCTACTTTGTATTCATATATCATCCAAGGTGCAAGTAACGCAAAGTAGATGGTATGTGGTTAAAATGTAAGAATAAACTAATAAATATCATCAAAGATAGGTAAAAGGCAGAATTGGGGTAGCAATTTCTGGCAAGTGGCAGCACTCTTGAACCTGCTGATGATATCTAAGAAAACTCTTACAAAACTGCTACTTTCCTACAGTATACTATGCACGTGAGTCTCATCCATTCCCTTCAGTGGAATGGTATAGAGCTTGACCTCTAAATGTGACATGGGGTCGACGTTCTGACAGGGCTCTCGCCTGCTGACTCATTGTGCAACTGGCTTGCAAATCTCTAAACTTCTTGAAAGAAACCAGTACAAATAGTTCTCTTAAAACACATGGAATATTTATTTCAGAACCAAAAGATAGATGACAACATCTTCATTCCAAAGGAAAACCTGTACGTTGGGTCAGCAAAGATGCCTTTTTCCAAATGGTTCTTCCAGGGTCCGGGCTGACAGTGGCTCTTCCGTTCTCACTCTATGGCTTCCAAAGTCATCCTGGAGTTCATTGGAGATCTCAGTGAGGCAGAGGGGACCAGAGCAGAGAGGATCCCACATGGGAGGCTTGGCTGGGTCTGAACTGGAGAAAGCACACTTTATTCCCTCTAACATTAGACTGTCTAAAATGTAGTCCCGTGGACTCACCTGATGCAAAGGATGCTGGCAGACATATCCTCGCCTGCCAGCCCCACACCTGGCACTACTATTACCAACGGCAGAGAGCTAAAAATGGATGCTGGTAGACAGCTGTGGTCCCCACCACTATGCCAGCTCTGTACTTAGGGTATCTTACTCTAAGGAGCCAGTAAGAATATGGAAATAAATAGAAAATGGTTTTAAATGTTACATAATGAAATACATTTCACATGGCAAATCTATTTCATTAACCTATCGGAAACGGTTATCTTATATGGAATTGGGGTGAGATACCGACCCAAAAATAGCTTATTTAAGAAGTAACATAACCAAATTGAATTTATTCCATCAGATCATGATTATGAAAAGCTCGAATGTTTCTTTCAGACCAATATCTATGATGTAAAATTTACAGGGAAAATAATGGCAACTGCCTACAGTCAATTTCTTTTTTTCCATCCTTCAATGCAGCATTTTCCTCTCCACAAGTAATGCAGCATCACTGGGTTTATCAATCCTGAGAAAGGATCCAACTTCTCTGATTGTTATAACTTCCTCCTTTAGGCCACCTTCATCAAATATACAAAACGATACGTGCTCAGAGAAATCATGCTGCCATTTCCACGACACCTCACATCAATTTTGTTTTCCAGATAAGCACACCACGAACTCAACGGAAAAGAGCAGTTTTTTTTCCCCAATGACAATGCATGACAGAAGCCAAAAGGTTTTAAAGCAAACATACAAATGTGTCATCTAATAGTCCATCAACCAGCCCCTGTCACACTGATAAACCTTTTATCTCTCTTTCCCAGATTTTAATCAGGAGCTTGGTTTGCATGTTTCTTGTGTCGCTGCAGCAACCAACCTAATGGGGATTCTTTATTCCCTGAGAAATCCACCCATTTGGGCCTAAATGAAACATTTCACTGTCTTGTTTTATCTCTCTCCCTATTCACATTAACATAATAGCTTTTAATTGGATTGTATTTGTGATTAGAGCTGGCAAAGGTGGTGTTCTCTCGGAGGAAATTAACTGCAAGGCAAGCTTCTGAGCCTCCACATGGGAAAATTTTTAAGGCATTGCCACAGGGCAGGATGGACTCAGGCTACACAGGCCCAGAAGCCAACTGATAACTCATTTTTCTTAAATAGTGGAAGTCCACTAAATTTATCATAAAGGCGTATGGACTCAAATATTTGAACTACTCTATTAGCATCCAAATGCCTGCTCTCAAAAATAGAGTATTTTTAAAAAGGACATGAAAAAAATAGATGAATAATATATAATTGGAGAGGTGGAAGGAGGAGACAGTCCTAGTACTTTCCAAAAGTAATTATGGTAATTAAGTTTAATGCTTTATTTCTCTCTGTATTGAATCACTGTATTTGCTTATTTATTTAACTCAAATGTATTTTCTGCATCTACTATGTATCAGATACTATATTAGACACTAGGAATATAAAAAGGAAATATATTTGGTCTCTGCCCCCTGTAAGCTCACAGGTTAGTCAGGGTCAGAGAATCCATTCACTGAGCAGGTCCTGATTTTCACTCTATCAAGAACCAAATGTGGTGCTTGTTTCTAAGGCTGTGAGAACACTTAGGATGCAGGTCCTGCTTTTAAGGAATATACAGTCCTCTATGACAGTAGATGAAAGAGAGGAAAGAAGAAAGGAAGGAAGGAAGGAAGGAAGGAAGGAAGGAAGGAAGGAAGAGAAGGGAGAGGAAGGAGAGGAAGGAAGGAGAGGGGTAGGGAGGGAGAAAAGGAAGGAAGGAAGGAAGGAAGGAAGGAAGGAAGGAAGGAAGGAAGGAAGGAAGGAAGGAGAGGAGGGAGAGGAGGAAGAGAAGGGAGAGGAAGGAGAGGAAGGAAGGAGAGGGGTAGGGAGGGAGAAAAGGAAGAAGGGAGAAAGGGAAAGAAAGAAGAAAGGAAAAGAAGAAGGAAGGAGAAAAGATATAAATAAGTACAAATAAGAATAATAAAATTCTATAGATGCAATATAAACATTTGTACAGGATTTAGTGAGGTTACAAAAGATAGTATGGTCAATTTCATGGAGCAAAGAAAAGGTTCAAAGAGTTTGAACTTAATCCCATAGGCAATGGTAAGTGTCAAACCCAGGAAGGACAATCTCTCTTTTCTCTGGTCTGTGCTGCAGAGAAAACAAATACCATTGACTAGATGTCACTATGAGTGCAAGTGACATTATTCTACCTTGTAAAAAAATAATGGCAGCTATTAGAAAGATTTTTTTTCCTAAGCTTTATTTGCAGTTATAAACTAAACAGATACTTATGAAAAATGGCCACTTAAAATGTTAATTTTATGAGTGTTTACAATAATCAAAGTCAAAAGGATTAACAAGCCTAAGAAGAAGGTGACATAGAAAGAATGGCAAATTAATTCAATGTTTTAAAAAGTACAAAAAAAA